GTTCCTATTCAACTGTCTACAGCATTCATATGCTTGAGAGGATTCATATGCTTCTCCGGTTCGGTGGTTGTGGTGTCTGCTGCAGTGCTTGGAGTCCTCAGGAAGCGCTAGGAGCATCCTTTAACGGAGGTACCCAGTCGGGGTGCCAGGCGATCCGTTACATTGGTGGCAGCGGTGGGATGGCATCCTAGTGCCAGGTAAAGCAGCTCAGAGACACAGTTCGTTTGGAGTTACAATTTGAGGGCAACGCCAGTACCCGTACAGCGCCCCTATCTACGAAGGAACTCAGAAAATGGAGGAGAAGTTGCAAGATAGATTGTACTGTTACGTATCCCTGAGGTCAGGAGCAGTGTCAGAGGAAGACATGTTGAGATACAGAGAGAGTGCCAGAGCTGAGTTGTGGGACGAAGCCCTAGAGGAAGTACAGTATTCGCGAGGGGATCGGCGCCACAGCAGAAGGCAGCGAATCCTGGCTCGAATGGCAGAGCGGATGCACCTCCTGAAGAAAAAGACAGAAGAAGCGTGGGTGATTAGACTCGAGATTTTAGTATATGCAGAACTGGCGCTCGACGACGCATACCAGGCGATACAGTGGTACGCAGCTCAGTGTGTCCCCGAGTTGGCAGAGTATGAGTTCCCAGAAGGCGGAGGTTACGCTGGCCCTGGCCTATTTTGGGACAATATTGACGATGAGGACTTTGGGAAAGCTACTGACTCGTTTTTGGGACCTGTGTTACGACCGAGAAGACATGCTGGGGCTCCCTAGTGCTATTGACCTCGAGGCAGACATACAGTATTTGGTCACCAATGAATGGAACCTGGAGTGGGATTACCTGCGACTCATCAATGAGGCCCGGGAAGAGACAGCCGGTCCTTTTTCCCAACAGCAACCAGCGGTACCCGAGGTAGCGGACCTCCTAGACTGGTCCTGCGAGGGTCCCCAGCGGCAGTGTGTGTCGCAGGGAGCAGAAGGTGCCGTCCTTCCTCCCCAGCGGCAGTGTGAGCTACAGGGAGCTGAAGGTGTCGTCCTTCCTCCCCAGCGGCTGTGTGTGTCCCAGGGAGCCAAAGGTGTCATCCTTCCTCCCCAGCGGCAGTGTGTACCCCAGAGAGCAGAAGGTGTCAGCCCCTTCCCCCAGCTGCCAGTGTGTGTCCCAGGGAGCAGAAGGTGCCGTCCTTCCTCCCCAGCGGCAGTGTGAGCTACAGGGAGCTGAAGGTGTCGTCCTTCCTCCCCAGCGGCAGTGTGTACTCCAGGGAGCAGAAGGTGTCGTCCTTCCTCCCCAGCGGCAGTGTGTATCCCAGGGAGCTGAAGGTGTCGTCCTTCCTCCCCAGCGGCAGTGTGTACCCTCCTAGGGTTAGTGCTGTCCTCCCCAGCAACAGTGTGTACCCCAGGGAGCTTAAGGTGTCGTCCTTCCTCCCCAGTGGCAGTGTGTATCCCAGGGAGCTGAAGGTGCCGTCCTTCCTCCCTAGCGGCAGTGTGTATCCCAGGAAGCTGAAGGTGTCGTCCTTCCTCCCCAGCGGCAGTGTGTACCCCAGGGAGCTGAAGGTGTCGTCCTTCCTCCCCAGCGTCAGTGTGTATCCCAGGGAGCTGAAGGTGTCGTCCTTCCTCCCCAGCGGCAGTGTGTACCCCAGGGAGCTGAAGGTGTCGTCCTTCCTCCCCAGCTGCATTGTGTACCCCAGGGAGCTGAAGGTGCCGTCCTTCCTCCCCAGTGGAAGTGGGTATCCCAGGGAGCTGAAGGTGCCGTCCTTCCTCCCCAGCGACAGTGTGTACCCCAGGGAGCTGAAGGTGTCATCCTTCCTCCCCAGCGACAGTGTGTACCCCAGGGAGCTGAAGGTGTCGTCCTTCCTCCCCAGTGGCAGGTGTATCCCAGGGAGCTGAAGGTGTCGCCCCTTCCTCCCAGCGGCCGTGTGGCTGGGTGTCCCAGGGAGCTGAAGGTGTCGCCTCCTTCCTCCCAGCTGCAGTGTGTATCCCAGGGAGCTGAAGGTGTCAGCCCTCCTCAGCGGCAGTAAAATTCCCAGGGAGCTGAAGGTGCCGCCCTCCCAGCGGCAGTGTAGCCCCGTGAGCTTGAAGGCCGCCCCTTCCTCCCAGCTGCAGTGTGTATCCCAGGGAGCTGAAGGTGTCGCCCTTCCTCCCCCAGCAGCCGCGGTGTGTCCCTGTGAGCTGAAGGTGTCGCCCTTCCTCCCTCATAGCGGCAGTGTGTGGCCACCAGGGAGCTGAAGGTGTCGCCCTTCCTCCCAGCCAGACAGGTAAATCAGGAGCTGAAGGTGCCGTCTTCCTCCCCAGTGGCAGTGGGTATCCCAGGGAGCTGAAGGTGCCGTCCTTCCTCCCCAGCAACAGTGTGTACCCCAGGGAGCTTAAGGTGTCGTCCTTCCTCCCCAGCGGCAGTGTGTATCCCAGGGAGCTGAAGGTGCCGTCCTTCCTCCCTAGCGGCAGTGTGTATCCCAGGAAGCTGAAGGTGCCGTCCTTCCTCCCCAGCGGCTGAAAGTATGTATGGGAGAGGAGCTTGTTACCCCCTCTCCCCAGCGGCAGCTTAGCCTACCAAGGGGAGACAGTAATCTCCACAACAGTGCAGATGGGACAGTGGTGTCTGCACATGCACCACCGGGGGTAGGGACAGTCGGTCCTGTCCCCCAGCAGCAGGACTGTTTAGGCAAAGGGGAGACAGTCTGTCTCCCCCTCCAGCAACCAGGCTCCAACCAAACTACTCCCGTGGTAGTGCTGGCACCAGGACAGAGTACCGCTGGTCTCTGCCCACTCAGCAACCCACCCAGTACGCTTACCAGTCACCCACACAGCCATGGTGAGGCACCTGGACACGGACAAAGTTCTCCCCTACCCAGGTGTAGTAGCCAGTTATTGTGGGTGGGCTGTATTACTGATTGTGTTTTGTGGGTGGGCTACTGGACTAACAAGGGCACTGACCGGCAGGAGGTCAGATACCCTGTTAGTCTGATTGGTAAAGGGGAGAAGTGTGGCGGAACCATCCTCGCCACTATGCACTGGAGAAGCCTGGTTGCCAGCCTCCTGCCATGTGACTATGGCCCCTGGGATGTATTGCCCCTTAAAGACATGATTTGGGCATAATAGGTTTTGTGTTGTGCTGCTGCTAGCCCTTTTAAGAACCATCTGGGGACATACTGTGGAGTTACTGGGTGGCCACCATTTCCTGTATCAGAAGCACATGGTGAGAACAATGGATGGCGGCCATTTTAACTCACAGACACTGTGTGGACTTTTCAACACGGTGCCATTTCACCTGTGTGCCTCTCAACCCCCTTTTAAGTTTCTTACATGCTTTAGCACCTTTTGTGTTTCTTATCCTGTCTTTTGAATGTCTTACCATGTTTAGTGTATCTTATCATCTTTGGTTTTACACCCCCTTTTAGTGTATCTTATTCCCCCTTTTGCCTCCTTGTGTGTCTTAAGTCCCCTTAGTGCAGGGGTTCCCAACCCAGTCCTCAAGTACCCCCTACCGGTCCAAGATGTAGGGATTACCTTGTTGTGTCTAAAGTGTTGTTGTTTTTTTCCTTTTTCTAAAAACGCCTTAGACACAACTGGGTAATCCTTAAATCCTGGACTGTTAGGGGGAACTTAAGGACTGGGTTAGTATTGTATTCCTGATTTGTAAATCTCACATCCCCCTTGTTTGTCTCTTACTCCGCCCAACCTATTTGTGTCACTTACTTCCCCCTGCACCTTTTGTGTCTCTTACTTACCTGTCACAAACGCACCCTACTTCAAGAGTGTGCGTGACTTAGTTGTGGCGGTGAAATGGTTAAAGTTCACTATTTGTCTGCACTAGACCATAAATAATGATAAAATCCCACTCAACACCACCCACACTTAACCATAATAATATAAATATTACTATCTTAACGCTGACACCACCAAGACAATTTATAAATGGGATGCCTTGGTCATAATAATAAAAACCCACCAAATACAGCTTAGCACAGTATTTAAGCAATTGCAAAACACTAGTTAGTCTCTTCAGGTAACGTGATTCTTAACCACGCAAAGGCAGAACTTAATAAAGGAATATTTATTATGAGCAACAAAAGTCACAGTGCATACAAAAAATAAATGATAAATTATTTACACCAACAACAGATAAAATCAAAAAGGATAAAATAACAGAAGTCCTAATCACTTACTCAGGTCTTCAAAGTAAAACTTCTGCCCAGGGGGTCTCTGGCAAGGAAGATGGTGACTCACTCAAAATTTGATTTTGGCCCCAAGCAAGTACAAAACACATTTCAGTATCCTTAGATATATACCCTGTGGATTACCAATCCTGGCCCAGAGGTGGAGGTAAGGCATGCCTATAGAGACAATAAATGACCACCCCCTTGTGTTCCAGACCAACATCATTCCAAATGGAAACATTTGGTTCTATTTCTATCTATTTATGTACTTGCGACAGAAATAATAATTTCATCTATGAATTTGTTACCATTTTGCCATTCCATAGATATGTCATATTTCTTACTTGTGACCCAATATAGTGGACATCACAATGTGGTTAGGTTACGCAAATCATGTTTAGGCTTGATTAGAAGATTGTGCTTGTCTCATTCTAAAGATAATAAACATGAGGCTTAATTATTAATGTTTCTTTTGGATATGATACTGAAACACAAGGTTTTTTTTTTTTTTAAAGCTAATTACCATTCATATCAAAGGACTCCCCATCTAAGAGGGAATCTAGACATATGGCAAATTAGAGAGTTAGTTTATGTTTAAACCAGACTTCCAGGCCACTTATGTGTGACTTCTCACACCTTACAAAGTAGCTCTGTTGGGGTCCCAGCTTCAAAGAGGAATTTAGGCTGTAAGCTTTGATCACCTATACAATTAAATGATCACCTTGGAATTGACAATACCACCTCTACCAAGAAGCCAGTTCATCTATGCACTACACAAATTACATTAAATGACAATATTCAATAGTGCAACAATGAATTATGCACCCTTGCCGTGACACTTCCCCCAGCCATTTTGTGCAGGGCCGTCTTTAACGCGGGGCAAACGGGGCAGCTGCCCCGGGCCCTGTCCCTGCTGGGGGGCCCGAGGTAACTACCCTGTTTGCCCTCTGCCCGCAAACTATGGGGGCCCATGCACTTAGGGCCACCCGGTGGGCCTGTGTCAGCAGGGGCCCGGTCGGGCGCTGTGGCGCTTTAACAGCGCGACCGGGCCCTTGCTTTTCGGCAGCACTGGGAGGAAGTGACAGCCGCGCGTCACTTCCTCCCACAGAAACAGGAGCCGCTCGGGGGAAGGCAGACCAGCTGTTCCGGAGGGGGCCAGGCCGGGAGCTTAACTCCCAGCCACCCCAGCCAGCCCACTGAACCCCAGGGAAGCCACCCTCCAGGAAAAGGTAAGAAACTGGAGGGTGGTTATCAAAGTCTGTCAGTGTATCTGTATGTCTGTGTGTGTGAGAGTCTGTCAGTGTCTGTGTGGTTCAGTATGTCTGTGTGTGGTTCAGTATGTCTGTCAGTGTGTCAGTATGTCTGTGTGTGAGTCTGTCAGTGTCTGTGGTTCAGTGTGTATGTGTGTTTCAGTATGGCTGTCTGTGTATGTCAAAATGTCTGGATGTGTGTTTGTCTGTCAGTGTCTGTGTGTATGTGTGTTTCAGCATGTCTGTCTGTCTGTGTGTATGTGTGTTTCAGCATGTCTGTCTGTCTCTGTGTATGTGTGTTTCAGCATGTCTGTCTGTATGTGTGTATGTGTGTTTCAGCATGTCTGTCTGTCTGTGTGCCAGAATGTCTGTCTGTGTGCCAGAATGTCTGTCTGTGTGCCAGAATGTCTGTCTGTGTGTCAGTATGTCTGTGTGAGTCTGTCAGTGTCTGTGTGTTTCAGTATGGCTGTCTGTGAGTTTCAAAATATCTGTATGTGTGTATATCTGTCAGTGTCTGTGTCTGTGTGTTTCAGTCTGTCTGTGTGTGCCAGAATGTGTGTATGTCTGTCAGTATGTCTATGTGTGAGTCTGTCAGTGTGGTTCTGTATGTCTGTGTTTGTCAATATGTCTGTCAATGTCTGTGTGTATGTTTGTTTCAGTATGTCCGTCTGTCTGTGTGTATATGTGCCAGTATGTCTGTCAGTGTATCTGTATGTCTGTGTGTGTGAGAGTCCATCAGTGTCTGTGTGGTTCAGTATGTCTTTGTGTATGTGTGTTTCAGTATGGTTTTCTGTGTGTGAGTCTGTGTCAGTACGTCTGTCAGAATGTGTCTCTATATCTGTATGTTGTCCATTTGTATTTGTGTGTGTATCTGTATGTGTCAGTGTTTGTATCTGTATATCTGCATGTGTGTCAGGTTGTGTATCTGTGTGTCTGTCTGTCAGTGTGTGTGTCGGTGTATCTATAAGTAGTCAGTGTGTGTACCTTTGTATCTGCATGCATGTCAGTGTTTGTATCTGTGTGTGTGTCTATGTGTGTGTCAGTGTATCTATATGTAGTCTGTGTGTATCTGTATGTTCTTGTGTGTATCTATATGTGGTCAGTGTGTATCTGCATGTGTGTCAGGTAGTGTATTTGTGTGTATCTAGACGTAGTCAGGGGGCCCAAGTAAATGCTCGCCCAGGGTCCAATCTAAATTAAAGACGGCCCTGATTTTGTGTATATCCTTATCTTCTCCCCCAGCTTCTTTGTGTGTCTCTTTCTATCCCCCCAGCCCATTTGAATGTCAGTTACTGCTTCCCCTGCCCCGTGCTTGCCTTGCAGACCATGGAAGAGAGTCTTCTTTATCCTCTACCTGGTCTGACAGCATGCTGCTTGTTGCTCCCAACTTCCTATAAGACCGGGTAGAGGATAAGTAGGATCCTCTACCACAGTCCTTGAGGCCCTGCTACATGGAGTGACTGACAGTATGGGGAGCACAGTGTGCCGCCTCCTGCCAGTTACCTGGACATTGCATTCCCATGTCTCTGGGGCCTGCACATATTAGCAAACATATATAAACACAGATACACACGCACACAAACACATACCTCCCAAGTGTACCTTATTTCTACCCTAATGTCACTCTTCTCTATGAGCTCTATAGTGTTGATATGTCTGAGTTTATAACATAACTCCACTGCAATAATACTCACAGTAATGTGTCTTTAAAGCACAATAAATGTGTTTAGAACTCTATGTCTATGTAAATAAGATACATTGTTTTTATTCTAAATGATATTTTAGTTGCATAAATTGTTATTAGCAAGACACCTAATATTTCTCAGAGCAGCCCGCCCCTGGCCACAACCCTTAAATTAAAGTGTCCCTCTTTGTCCATTTGAAAGTTGTGAAGGTATGTATAATTTAATAGTTTTAACTAACCTCCTTTTTGCATACCTTTTATGGTGTGGGAGGGTAGTTTCCCTGGGTTTTCTGTGGTTCTTGCTGCTGGCTATGACTGATGGGAATCTTGGGCTAGTGCATACCCCCCCTTGTCTGCTCTCACTGTGAGGAAGTCACCTGAGCTCAATTACTCCCAGCATTGTTGGTATGACAGAGGCCTGGTTGCACCATTAAAATAATGTGGTACACTTTTAGGCCCATAATCAGAGATGCCCATTGGGTGGCCACAAAGGTGAGGGCCATCTAAAGGGCCCTCTGCAGCTTGCGGGCCACAGTGTGGTCGCATCCAAGTAACCTGGTGGAACACTATACTACACCTTTATTCTCACAGTAGATGGCTGTCTTGAGAAGAAGGTGCTTAATATAAAATTAGAGAAACACTCATATCCTCCTTTTAGCCCCTATAGCTCCCATGGCTACTAGTGTCCAAATGGGGAATTATAATGGCAGTATAATTGCTAATGTTCAAATAACCAGACTCTTGACATGAACTATACCATGGTGTATAAGTTGCAACAGTTCCCCGTATGGAACCCTGTCTCTAATATTCAGTCAGTATCCTTTTTATAGGTCTCTTGATCTGGAATAGTATGGATTAAGATACCTTGCTTTGGTTTGGCATTTTGAACTGCCATGTTTTGGAGAAGATGGCTTCCAGCAAGAGACTTTGCTCTGGTGCCCAGTATCTAGTCCAACCTTATGAAATACATGAGCCCACTAAATCTCACAAACTTGTCTGCCATGAGTGAATCATTGCATTAAATCTAACTGCATTGTAGGGTTCTAGGATCATACTCTCATAGTACTAGTCCTGTGACAAACCTGTTGTGTATTTGTGAATGTTTTGCAACTTGCCCTATTGTTACTTGCATATTACAATTTTTTTTGCGTTATTGTTTTGTTGTGCATCTTTTACCTTAGTTCCTGTCTAACTCTTTCTCTCTCATGCTGGCATCACAAACCTGTTGTGCTAGTCTCTTTCTTTTGTCCTGGCATCACACACATGTTGTATGAGCCTGATGTGATGCATACTTAGGTCTCTGCCCTCCTCTTATCATGCAGGCATCACATTCTTGCTGAAATTCACACGTCTATATTTAGGATTCCCATGTTCCTTCTTATATTTAACATACACAGGACAAATAATAGAAATACAGTAAAATAGTTCAGTGAAAACATTATATGAGTCCTTCCTTTCTGGTAACACAGCCCAAAATACAAATTGTGACAGTATTTAATGATGCCATAGTCAGTGGATTAGAATCAATCATACTGGCATTAAAGTAATGCCAATGTGAGGTGTGTATATATAAAGAACATGTTGGTCTTTAATTAAAAAAGGCCCTCCTCTGATTGGTTATGATAGTGCTTGATGCTGTGTCCAATTGCAATTGAATTTAAAGTTGTACTCGGTGTGAAACATAAAGAAAGAATTGTAGGATATTTTTTTCAGCACACTATTTTTGCTGAGGTTTGTGCAAATCTTTTGTTAACTCATCGCAGCTCAGTGTTTAGTAAAATAACTGCTGCAATTTTGTACATTTAACATTGATCATGCAATGCCACAATAGCTGGCAACAATAAGACCCCAAAGCAGAGGCAGCTCTAGGCTTTACAAGGCCTTAGACGAAAAGTGAAAATGAGGCCCCCACTGACACTCCTAATGGAAAAAAATGCAAGCAATAATCAAATTAACTGGCCAGGGACCGTGGTGTCTAGTGATGGTTCCTCCTTCCTGTTTCCACTTTGCATGTGACACACCAATACACCTTGAGCCCACACCAAGCCGCACATACTCACACACATGCTTCCAGACACATACAGTTGTAATCTTATTCAGCCCCCTTTTGAAGATTAGGTCTTTTGTCAAAATGTACAGACTTTCAGCTATTTCAGCTGTTCAATGAACGCATCAAACAAAAGCAATTGAAATAGCTCAACACAACAAATGCTTCAAGTAGTTTCTCCAAACTCAACTGAAAATGCAATTTATAATAACTTCTCCAATCTCAAAATTTTTCAACCCCCTGAATAGAATCCCTTACAACAGCACACATGTATGCAGGTAGTGGTTATTGTGTGGTGCGACCCATTATACCCACAAACCCGCTCCCCCCTCCTCCACCAATTAAGACCAGGAAACGTAAATGTGGTATAAACAGGCCACAGCTTTATTCATAAATAACAAGTATAAAAATATAAACCAATTTTAACTATCCTTTAATATGAGCATGATGTAACTCAAACTTGTCCTTGACAACCGGACCATAACAACTCTAGAGTACCCCCTTCCGGGGGACCTGCCCTCCCCCCTCGTCCAAGATAACTGGCCTTCACCTTGGCCTTCCAATTCCCCATGCCAACCTCTGGCCGCCTTTCCTGGCACGGAGGGCACGCCCAATTACCAAAACATTTTCCGAGGTTAGGGGAGGGACCAGACCCAGCATTCCTTCTTCCAGTGTACTCCGTTTCCCAACTGGTTCGGCAAGGACCATACCCGCCAGCTGTGACAAGAAAGAAAATTAGTAATACGCAATAAGATAGCAATCAACAACAAAGGGCTGGAGGGAGGGTGTTACCAGCCGTTGTTTCTAAGATGGCTGAAGTAAGGGGACAAAATGACTGCTATTTATATGACCCCACCCCACCTCTAACCTAAGTGACACCCCTACTTGGGACACCTACACCCACCACACCCACACATGCCTCCTATCCGGCTAGCTTTCAGCCCGCCTCCTCTGGGCCTTATTCAAAATAGGTGTTGTCTCAAGCACAGCTGATGCAACTAATCAATTACTTCATTAGTTGCACCAGGTGTGCTTGAGCTGGAACACTTTAAATATCTGAACTGGCCAGGGGTTTGTTGAGTGTCATGTTTGAC